TTTTTTTCACTCAGCATGATTAATATCCTTTAGTTTCAACCAAGTTGTTATGTGTATCAATAATTAGTCGTTTTTATTGCTGAGTAGTATTCCATGTGTGAATATAGTACAGTTTATTGAGCTATTCACTTGAGAAACATTTTGGTTGTTTTGAGTTTTGGGCTTTTACAAATAAAGATGCTGTGAACAGTCATGTAGATGTCTGTGTTTTTATTTGAACATAAATTTTCCTTTCTCTGGGATAAACACCCAGGAGCACAACTAATGGACCATATAGTATGTTTTACAAACTACATTTTAACAAATAGACCAAGACTTAATTACTGCCCACTCCCTCAGAATTTTTCTGGGCAGAATAGTCTCTTTTGTGCCACGTGGTTCATAACTTTTCAGCTTTCATGCTGAGTAACAAAAAGCTAGATATTCTAAGATAGCCCATCTCTGTGGCTGTCTGCATGGGTAAGTTAGGTCTTTCACAACAGATTTTCCCCAGTGCCACAGAAATCTAGAGCTTTTGAAGTATTTCAGTCAACAGCAGACAGCTACCAGTGACTTTCTTTATTCTTCTTCTCTTCTTCAGTATAGATGAAACTAAGGAATCATTTAAGAGAGGTTGTCTAATAAGGAATAGGCTAGCCTTTTATTTTGCTTGATTTATTAAAGTACACCCCTTCCCAGTTGTCAGTCACTAGGAAGCTAAAATAATCGTTTCCAAATTTATTTGTAAGATACATATGAATTAAAATCATTCACCTGAGAAATCCAGGATTTCTTAACTAGTGACACTTTGATGTGGATAATTCTTTGTTATGAAGGGCTGTCTGGAGCCTTATGGAATGTTTAGCAGTATTTCTGTCATCTGCCCACTAGGTGGCAGTAGTAACTCCACCCCAGTTGTGACAACCGGAAATTTCTCCAGAAGTTGCTAAATTTCTCCAAGCAGAGTTACCCATGGTTGAGGATTACAGGTTTAAGAAATAGTCAGTGGGAATATCTGCATATAAAGATGTTCTATCATTAAAGAAACAAATGACAACAAATGTATTGGCACTATTGTTTCAACACCTTTTAATACTTTATGAGAAGGTCTCCAAAAATTTCACATTTCTGAAAGGTTTGTATCTATTCACGAGCTGTTCTTTTCACTAGCTAAACCTGTAATGGTTTTATTTTCATTGGTTACTTAGGTAGTCAGCTAAGTCTATACTTATTTAGTTGCAGTGAATTTACCAAGCTTCTGAGATAGTCTTTGCACATTTTCTCAGATGCTTGGCACTTGTCCTTTTATCTTTGGCATTACATTCAGACATCTTCACTGCGAGCTATTTAAAATTCATGACGTCGATGGTGGCACAATTTGGTTATGTAAAGAATCTTTGTGACTTTAAATGGTTATTTAAATAGGTAGTAGTTAGCTAATTGAATTTGCTGGAGTCTAGGAATTTTTCTCTTGCAAAAGGGTTTTTAGTATTACCTTCAAATGAGAGCTAGAAATGGTTTGAGATTGAGTAGTTACAGAATAGGTAGTGAAATGTAAGAAGTAAATGATGAAACATGAACATGAAGTTAGCAGTGCAGTTTATTATAACAGATATATGTATAGATTTAAGACTTTCCATATATCTTACTAAGGTTTTTTATGCTATAGTGGAAATAAATTACTTAAAATTGCTTTCTTGAGAGATAATGACATTTGATAAATTGATTTGACTTTGGTGAGGAAGTATACATAATGGTTAAGAGGTTGGGCTCTATAGAGTTCTTGTTTAGTAGCTATGCAGTTTTGAGTAAGAGCGTTAATATTTGTAAGATTACGCTTTCTTATCTATAAAATGTTACTGATAATGCTGCCTTTTTCATAAGGTTTTGGGGAGGACAAATAGTACATATAAAGCTGTTGGCTTAGTGTCTGGCTTATAATAAACGTTCATTAAATATGCGCTACTGCTTTAAACCATGTATTTAAAGTAATTCCTCAATTAATTACAGTTTATAGAATTGTATTTTGCTTTGAAGATGGAAAGATATGGTGTAAGAACTACATCATTGAAAATTTTTCACAGACCAAATAAAACTGAGCGTGCATCCACATTCTGCCTGCCCGATTTTAAGTTTCTGTGACAGTGCTCCTCAGTTTTCCCTCTGACCATGGTTCCTGGTCTGTGTCTGATATATAAGAAGCACTCAAATTTGATTCTAAAACTTTTCTTTTTTTCCTACTAATTTAAGGCCAAAAAACAACAACAACAAAAACCCCACCAATAGCAAAACGTGCAGTACAATCATTTGGAAATACTTTGCATGTATCTAAAATATAAGACATTGTTTCCATAGGGTATCTAGTAAAGTATAAAACTTCAAATGAGAAGAAATGGCATGTCTTAGCAAAAATATATTGTAAGTAATTAAGACATTAGTGGAAACTTTGTGTGTGCATTCTGATACTTTATAGTGAATCTTTACACGGATGCCCAGTCAGGTTGCCTATCAAATTATGAATGTTAGTGTTCAATTCTTCATTCTGTACAAAATGTACTTAAAATTATAACCTCATTTAAACTCATTAGTGCTTTAGAACTTTAACGGCAAAATTTGCTTCTGAGCTATGAATTTGAGTAGAGCCAGTGAAAATAGTGAAACAGAACCATGTGCTTTGAAATCAAGTAAGTTTGTTTTATTCCCAGCTGATACCTAATGGCTGTATGATTTTGGCCTTTGACTGCCTTAGCAAATAACTTGAAAATTGGGATCCCTTCCTTTGGTTGTTGTTAGGGGATTACAAGAAACGGATGTGAAAACATTTAACCAGCAGCAAGCGCTTTGGTGCATTCATGTTGGATTTTCATCCTCTCCTCTTGGGGAGCTACCTCTTCCCTGCTGTTACAAGTGTATGTTCTTGTTGAAAGAGGGGTCTCAGGGTAACCTTGGAAAATTAGAAGGAAAAGAACAGTTTGAAAAGAAGTAGATGAACCAAAGAAAGTGAATAGGAGGAAAAAATTAAACTTTGACAAAATACTCCTTTCAGATAAAAGTTGTCCACATTGAAAAGGTGTGAAGAAAGCTTACATTGTTGCTGTTGTTGGTTAATAGAGGTGGACTTGCTTTATTTTGTTTTCAGTTGTTTATTTAAATAGTGAACTTAGGGCTCATCTGGTAAATTTTTGCCTGTAAAACATTCCAAGTTCTCCAGTCTTTGCCTTTTGTACGTTCTACTTATTTCCCGCGTTGGTAAAGGGGGGACGTGAAGCTGTGTGAGCAGTAGACTGGGAGATGACTCATGCCTACTTCTAGGTAGAAATAGTGAAAATAGCAGAAGGATGAGCTCCCGGTAGCGTGATTGGCTCAGTAACCCTCTGAGGAATTTTGTGTATTGGTAAATGACAACATGGGACCTGAGAGCCATTGTTGATTGTTTTGTGTATGTTGTTACTGTTGTGTGATTCCATAGTGGTGGTCGTTCAGCTACCTTGTATTGCTCATTCTGGAAATTGCATAGTTCAAATTTCTGAGCCTACAGTGTTTTACATTTCTCTGCCTAGGTGTTTTTGAAATAAGGTGTGTGTGTGTACATGCATGTGCACATGCACACCTGTGTGTATGTTTTAACGACTTACTGGAAAGAACTATAGCACTTTGATTTCTTTTTCTTTTGTGTTTTTTTTGGTACCAGGGATCGAACTCGGGACCTTGCATTTGTAAAGCAGGTGGTGAACCACTGAGCTAAATCCCCGGCCCCAGCCCTTTGATTTCAATGAAACTTTTTAGTTTATCAAGCTTGTAAAAGATTTGGAAAGGGAAAGAAGACCCTTTAAAATTTTGTCCTAAAATTAAAGTTTATGAAATTGTATTGATATGGTACTTACAGGTGTTTGTAGTTTCTGTGCCTGTCATTATTAAGTGGCTGTTAAAAAAATGAGAAGTGAAAATCCAGGTACTTCATTTCTATCCCTTCTACTGATTTGCTGTGTGATTTTTGTGAAATTTATTTGTGATATCTTTTCTAGGGCAGCAGAAGGGTTGCTGATTTATTTTTTCTAAACAATTATGTTTGTATCAACAAGTATTATATAAAATGGAAAGCACATATAGGGTGTTCATATTTCTTTTTCTGTGTGTGTGGGGTGTACTGGGGATTGAACCCAAGGCCTTTGCACTGAGTGACATCTGCTTTTTATAATTTCTAAAAGTTTTGAGACAGGGTCTCCCTAAATTTCTGAGTTGCCCAGGCTGAGCTTGGGCTTGGGATCTCCTTCCTCAGCCTCAGCCTCAGCCTCTCAGAGTGCTGGTGTCTCAGTTACTTTTTTTGTTACTGAGACAGAACACTTGACACCTAATGTTAAAGGAGAAAGATTTACTTAGCTCACAGTTTGTGGAGGTTTCAGTCTGTACTTGGCTGGCTCCAAGGCAGGGTGTTAAGGCAGACAGGCATTGCAGAAGTGAAACAGTTTGTGGTAGGCAGAAGGTAGCAAAGCAAGTAAGCAAGGGACCAGTGACAAGCCTCTTTCTGTCCCTTATACCTTACCCAGGCTACCTGTCCTTAGGGCGATTGCACTCAGTCTCTTAACCCTAGTGCCCTTAACCCTAGCATTGCATCATGAATCAGTTCCAACGTCAGACACTCTACTAGATCCTGCTACTTCTGAAAAGCTGGGGCTGGTGGGGGTGCTTTTCCATCACTGTATGCAACTTTTTTTGGGGGACACCTAGACACAAGCATAACACCTGGGATTGTAGGCCTTAATCAGCAGACCCAGCTTCTGTTTAATGTTTCTAATTAGGACTAAAATACTGTTCCAGTGGATTTCAGATCAACCATCATAGTTGTTTTTCCATGATTGTGGATTATTTTAGACATGTGAGCTTTAATTCAAAGACTTGTTTTTATTTGAAGTCAGTCTTATTATATATTTTGTGCATTACATAGTAGAAGATACTTAAAATTCCGGTGATGTGAAAAATATATGTCACAAAATTCTGTTCATACTGTTTTGTCTCTTCAGGTCCAATGATGCATCAGCAGCCTCCTGCCCAACAGTACAATATGCCACAGGGAGGCGGGCAGCACTATCAAGGACAGCAACCACCGATGGGAATGATGGGCCAGGTTAACCAAGGCAATCACATGATGGGTCAGAGACAGATCCCTCCCTATAGGCCACCTCAACAGGGTAAGTTCCATTTGGGAAATTTCCTGCTTAATATAAATAGCAGTGATTGAAAGGTTTTAATTTTTTTGTTTTGTTTTGTTGTTTGAGACAGAGTCTCACTATATAGTTGAGACTGACCTGGAACTCACTATGTAGCTCAGGCTGGTCTTGAACTCACAGCGATCCTCCTGCCTCAGCCTTCCGAGTGCTGGGATTACAGGCCACCACGCCCGGCATTTTTTGATTTTTGAGACAGAATCTCACTGTGTAGTTGAGGCTGACCTGGAACTCACTATGTAGCCCAGTCTGGTCTTGAACTCACAGCGATCTTCCTGCCTCAGCCTCCCGAGTGCAAGGTTTTAAATTTTAATGAGCTTTTTATCTAGAGGCACAATCAGGGCTTTTATTTATATCTAGATATCTAGATATATATATATATATATGTTTTTTTCCACCAAAAGATAGTGTTGTAGTAGGTACATAAGGTTACGAAGTACATAGGAACTTTCTGATATACAGGTTTTTTTTATCTATTATTTTCTGGGAGAAGATTACATTACAAAATTTTATATAAGAAGCTCACTGACTTATAGCAGAAAATACTGTTTTCTTCTTTAGAAATTACTAAATATCTGGTCAGGAATAAAGTCATTATTCAAAAGAAATTATTTCAAAGTCCTCTAATATCAAAATAAAAAGGAAGTTAAGCTTTTACTAGATCGGACCTCCTTTTAAATTAAGTTTTCTTTCCTGAGTATTGTTTGATATTATATGTATGGTCTTAAAAATTAACTTTAGTAAATGTGATTTGTGGAACTGCAGCATGTATATGTATATCTATTTGTATATAATAATTAAAAGTATCAGCAATGCCAAAGTATTGGAGGGGAGTCTACAACTGAGGAAATAACCTCTCAGAAGGTCAGATAAGAAAGAAAGCCTTTGATAGTACAGAGAACAAGTCATTTAAACCTTGACTGATTGTGGTTTTTCAGGCCCACCGCAGCAGTACTCAGGCCAGGAAGACTATTACGGGGACCAGTACAGTCATGGTGGACAAGGTCCTCCAGAAGGCATGAACCAGCAATATTACCCTGATGGTAATCTCGCCTAACCTTAACCTTCCGTTTTCTGTCCCTGCCCAGTATTAATATGGAAAGCTATTGGGAAACATTCTAATGAAGATAAAGAAGCCATCAGTTTATTTCTTCAGCACTTCAGTAATGTAAAATACCAATAATAGAATTAGTTTTTAATCTAATCCAAGGTATATTTTGTTAGGAATGTCATTAGTAACATCAAAAATCACATTCTATTCATTGGAATTCTTTCTTACATGAAAGAGGATCTTTTTATAGTTGGGATTGTTCATTTGAACCAAAGGAAATGTTACTGATTCACTTTTTTTATAATAGCTTTTTTTGTGATATAATTGATGTATTGTAAGGTTCACCCCTAGATTTACTTTTATGTAGTGTATAAATACATAAAGAATATAGTTCTGGGATGTTTTTCCCAGTTTCATCATTTTGGTTAATGTTGCATACTTCTCAGAATACTGTGATATATATATACATTAGTGCTGGCATTTTAGAAAAATTTTGGAGAGCTAAATTATATCCTTAATACAGCTATATATAGATTTAATAGAATAAGGCATTTACAAGCTAGATTTTTAGTTATTTAATTTAGTGTTTTTTAAATGGGAAGGTAGATTGTAACAAGTTCATTAGTAAAGAAGCATTGCACTATAGGAAAATCTAAATAGTAATAATGGGAGCTTACTATTAAGTTTTTGCTGTGGAGTTCTTCCAGTTTTTTTTTTAATCTTAGAATATTGAACAAAAATAATCTAAACCCGTAAAACTGATAAATTAATTAGTAGTTATATTACAAGTTAAATTGTTTCATTATGAAGGAATTTGCCAGAAGATTCACTTATATAATTAGCTCTGTTGGTATATTTAATGTAAATTACTTAGAGAAACTAAGAATTAAAGCTAAAGCATTAGAAGCCATTGACTAGAAACTAATGTAAGCCAGTGAGAAGATGCATATAATTTAGTGTACCTGAAAAATCACTTTACCTGTCTTTTGTCAGTGTGTAAAGCATAAGGTTATATCAGTACTTAGATGGATTTTCTTGCTGTAGAGGCTCTGGTTGTGGCAGAGCAAACACCTGTCACGTTTTGCATACAGTGGATGTTTATTAGTGACATATATGGATAATTATGGTTAGAAAACGGTGTATTTTTAAAAGTCTCACATTCTTGCCATTCATGTGTAGATAGTATTGTTTTTTATACCAGTTTATAGTTTATAAAAGTTTATAATAGAGTATATGTACCAAAAAGAGGTAAAACCTACTTTGTTAAATTATATGTATTAGGAAATTTGCTGAAAATGATTGGTTTAATTTTTAAAATGCATTTTTAGTAATTGAGTTGAAATTGACATTTTTCTTGGCCTTACATATTTACTGAAATATGAAATTTGTCTTGTTATAAATTGGACCTTTCTATTCAGAAGATAGCTGTTACTTTGGAAAATGTCAAAACTTTCAGGATATAATTTATTAATGGAATTTATGCTTAAATGTTACCATTTTTACATAGATGTATATGAATAGATTCTTAGTATGTACATAGACTATTCTGCTCATAGCAACATTTATTTTTTCTTGAGTAGCATTGGCTACTTTTTCTTATGTCCATGTATTTATACCAGTAAACATGTAGACGAAGAGTTGGCAAACTTTTTCTGTAAAGTCTTTGCAGATCATATGGTCTGGATCTCAACTGTGGAACTCTTGCTGTACCATGCAAGCAGCTATTGACAGTAGCTAGCTGAATGAGCAGGAATGTATCTGATGAAATTTTATTTATTGAAACAGACCACTGGCTATATTAAGACTGTAAGCTGTAGTTTGCCATCTCTTGGTGTAGATACTAAAAAGTGGTTTGGGAACGTTAGAGTGCTATGTATAATATTTATTCAAAAATATCTTCCTCCAACCTTAATTAAACATTCTTGTAAAGTTAGTTCAGGTTTTACAATCTGAAAGGTTATTTTTCTACAGTTTTTTAGTGAAACTCGGGATATGAGTAAAGTCCAATTGCCTTGCAGGTGAAATTTATTTTTTTATTTTTTTGGTTCTGGGGATTGAACTCGGATCCTTGCCACTTGCAAGGCAGGCAGCGGAACCGCTGAGCTAAATCCCCAGGCCAGGTGAAATTTATTTTGTTGTAAAGGTATACTCTGACTCAGCACAGAATTAATTTTGTATAGATGTATGTTTATGACATGTAGAAATATTTCCTAAAGACTTGTAGAATGACAGCATTCAGAAATAAATTTTTTTGCATCTAAATCACTTTTCGGAACCTATACTGTATGCAAGCACATGTTAGACTAGAGTATGAAAAATATGTTTCAGTTTCTTTCAGGAGAAAAAAGTTATGTGTTGTTCTTAGCATATGCTGTGGAATTGGAGACCAACTGAACAGGTGTTTGACAAAATATGATAATTGCTTTCTTTGTTCATTCTAATTTAATTCAAGTTATTTACATGTGAAAGGCCTAAATGCTTTTATTTTTTTTTTAATGGAAGATAAAAAGTTTTTTTTCCCTCTTCAGTGAGGATTATCAGAGTTAAGAGGATAAGTTTAATAATGTTTCTAAAACTATTGTTTTTTGCTTTTAAAAAAATTTGCACGTTACTGCAAGGTGAAAGCAATCACATTGGTAAATATTTGGCTAATGCAATTGAAATTATTTTTTATGTATTTCCATTTCTTTTTCTTTTTTTCTATTTTATCTGAAAGTTTAAATATTTTTAGGGTTTTCACTCAGGGCCATTAACGTTTCTTCCTGTCTCTTGTCGAATTGATGTAGGTCATAATGATTACGGTTATCAGCAACCGTCGTATCCTGAACAAGGCTACGATAGGCCTTATGAGGATTCCTCACAACATTACTACGAAGGAGGTATCTATATACCTTCACACACACACACGAATATCCCCTTCTATAGGAACGAAAATTCTTGCATAAGACAACTTCTGCCCATGCAAAGCTCTTGTAGAATACTAGTTGCTGGCTGTCTTAAAAGTTACAGGGAGCCCAAAACAATCAAAATAATTTCCTTACGAATATTTAAAATGTATAACCATGACTTGCCATTTCTAACAACAATAAAAAGACTAAAACATTTAAAAATAATTTTTTCCTCAGTGGAAATTTCCTATTTACATAAATCCCATCAATCCAATTTTTTTCCTCATGTGTGTTTACATATGTAAAATTTTACATATAAGTATAGTGCCTTTAGGAACCAGCTTGCTGATCTTGTGTAGCTAGTGTGTGCTCTTGTAGCTGTCTTTAATTTTGTCTTTTTTATTTTATTTAGCATAGTCATGATCTTATGACTGTGATGTTCCAGTAAATGTAATGCTCGTATGGCAGAGACGCTGAAAATGCTGCAGTTCAACCTTGCAAAATTGGCTTTAACTGCAGTTTGTTTGGCCGAAATCCTTCTGTTTGGTTTGAGTTTTTCTTTGTTTTGTTTAACTTTAAAAAAATCATTATGGCATTTCATTTTGTTCTTGTGTTGTTGGCTGTGCATCTTAGAGGGCAAAAAGTTAATGAAGTAAATTCTCAGTGTTTTATTCCTCTTCTCCAATTATCCTTAGGAAACTCACAGTATGGCCAACAGCAAGATGCTTACCAAGGGCCACCTCCACAGCAAGGGTATCCCCCCCAGCAGCAGCAGTACCCGGGGCAGCAGGGCTATCCAGGGCAGCAGCAGGGCTACGGTAATTGCACATCGTGGTCTTGTCCACCAAAAAGTGTGATGAAGGATTTGTGGAAGTATGGCAGTAGATAATACTTGTTTTAATCAGAATTATTTTTAAAAATTCACAATTTTAATTGTGTTTATTTAAAATGTTCCCTGATTCTGCATATGACATTAGAAATATTCTGTGCATTTCTTTTATTTCCCTTTCATGACTATTTACTGTTTGAATTTGTATTTTGAATAAGTAAAATATACTGGTTTTGTTACATTTGCATAAAAACAAATATGTGATGAATTTGTTAAATACATCGACTTAAGGGAAACAATTTTTATTGGGAAAGAGGCTAAGAAAATTTTAATTTTTGGTTTAAGTACTTAGATGCCATTTTATACCTCAGTTATCCTAAAGGAGAAATTCACAGTTTACTTTCTGCCTTCAGTTTTCTAACTTTCTTCTAGTGAAAAAATTAGTTTTAGTAATTAGATAAATAATAGCTAAATGACAAATGACATAATTTATTTAGGATTAAATATTTGTTGTTCTCTTTGACACTTCCCTCTAAAGTTGTCTTTATGGCAAGTTTTTAAGATGTGTGGCAGCAGATACTTAAATGTCAAAGCTTTCAGCTTTCGCGTTATGAAGTGTCTATACTAGGAAGTAGTAGAACATATAAAACAGTCGTTCTTTTTTAGCAAACCAAATCCTTGCTGCCTCTGGAGCTTGAAACCATTTTTATGGGTAAACTGTTAAAGATGATTGATTCTCGTAATGTACTTTTTGGATCAAGTTTTTCACATGCAACTTATGGCTTTTTAAGTCTATAATTTGTTTTAAAATACTGTGATAATAAGTTTATGGGTGCAGAGTGTAGCATATGATTCTTTGGGTGAATACATGTATAAATGTAGAGTCCTACAATTATGATTTACTCCTAAACTTTATTTAGAAATTTTGTTATTTTTCTTTGAAACTGCATCTTGCTTGGCTTTTTCTTTTTTGCTTGCACAGGCTAACTTTCTAATGATACCAGTATATATGAAGATAGATAAATTTTCTTATCTTTGTGGAGTTAACTTGATTTACAGTTCCTTTAGTCTTTCTTACCTGTTTCACATACACATCTAAGACTTGCTAAGGCATAGTGCAATAATTACCTTCAAGTAGCATTATAATATTTTTACTCTTAATATAACCATTGAAATTTATTTCACCAAGCATTTGAGAAAATCAAGGTACCAAGCTATTTTTTAAAATTTAGATACAAAAATACAATATTTAGTGTTAAATCTTTTCTCATGTTTGAGGGAGTTATGTTTTTATCTGGGTTTTTGTTTGTGTTAACTTTCGCAGGTCCTTCACAGGGTGGTCCAGGTCCTCAGTACCCTAACTATCCACAGGGACAAGGTCAGCAGTATGGGGGTTACAGACCAACACAGCCTGGACCACCCCAGCCCCCCCAGCAGAGGCCTTACGGGTATGACCAGGTGAGTCGTGGGTCCAGCTGTGGAATTGCCACAATGACTGGGGAAAATATTTTTCACTTGAAGGTTTCTTTTTTTCTTCTCTTGTTTATGGTCTGATTGTTAACAACAACACACAAAAAAGTATGTTATGGCACTTTTTAAGTCTCTGATAGAATGCTGAAGCACTTGATTGTAGGTGCTCTAATATATAAAACATGACTTGAAGTAAGAAACTAGCATTTTCACAGACTTTGTCTTTCCTCTCTCTACCCTTAGGCATACTTTCCATAGGTATTTTTCCGATAGCCTCATATTCACGCTGGAGGCTTTGCCTTGACCCGCTGAATTTACAGTTTGTCCTCCAGTGCTTCCGTTTGCTTACCACTTCTCAGTGTACCCACCACAGGGTGTGTGTTTATGCCTGAACTGTTCTGTGTCTTTGAAGTCAGACTTGCCATTTTCTGTTCCCTCCTTTCATACACATATCCACTACCTCAAGTATTATCTTTCTCTTTTGTCTTTCTTTCTGCTTTCTGATATGTAGACATGAATCTTCTCCTAAGATGACTATATTCCTTGAGCCTCATATTCGCTTAAGTTTTTTTTTTTTTTTTTTTTTTTTTGTTGTTGTTGTTGTTGTTGTTGTTGTTGGACAGGGGATCGAACTCAGGACCTTGCATTTGCTTGTGAGGCCGACATGGTGCCACTGAGCTAAATCTCCTGCCCTAAGTTTCTTCTTTTTAAACCAAACTCCTCTACTTACAATGTGCCACGGTCAAAATATCTTCAACCTACTTTGACTAACAACGGAAATCATTGGATGGTATGGAAATGATTTATTAAGATGATTACTTTATATGGGTTTCAGGTTTGTCTAGTGGGTTTCAAGTAAGGATATTTTGGTCTGTTCACCACTTAACCTACCTAAAATAGGTATTTTGAATATGGATCTACCTTTAATTGTAAATTAGGGCTTTCTGGCTGATGCAGATGAAGTAATTTGAGGAACAACTCAGATGTAGTATCAACTGGAATGAGGCATGGACAGTTCTTTTCTCAGGCCTACAACTTCTTGAATACCATTCTTTTAAAGTAAAGGCAAAGGAGATCTGAGAGATTGAACAACAAGAATAAGGATAGATGAGTAATACACTGGAACAAGAAGGACCAGGCAGAAGTTTCAGAAGTCAAGCTAACGTTGGCTAATGAGTATCTGAGGGTAGTATTTCTGAACAGATAAAATTTAGGCTCATTTTAATCTACATGCCAACTTTCAAAAAGTGATACTCTATTCATATATTCCCACATTCAACAAATGTTTGTTAATTTTCTGTATGTGCTGAGTACTATATTAACCCTAAATAAGTGAAGGAGACGTGATCCCTATGGCAGACAGAGCAGCTGTCTTGGCCTTTTGTTTGCATTTGACAACATCCTCCTTTTTCATTCTTGGGTTGTCTTCAGCTTCTTAGCACTCTGCTATTTGTTCCCCTTGCATTTACAATGATTCATTCTTATCATAGTTCATTTTGTATTGCTCTACCAGAATGTCTGAGGCTAAATTCTTTATAAAGGAAACAGGTTTGTTAGCTCCGGGTTTTAGAGATTAAGGAGCATGATTTCAACATGTTTGGCTCTGGTGAGAGCCTCATGATGGCGATATCAAGGTGACATGGATGAGATCACATGAGAGAGTGGGGTGATTCATAGGAAGTTCCAGGCTCCCTTACAAGGAACTAATCTGAGTCTGCAAGACCCACATTGATCCCACTGGGATCTCATTACCGTCTACTAGGCTACCATCTTAAAGGTTTCATCACTCAACATTGTCCCACCAAGGGGCCAGGCTACCAGTCCATGAGCCTTTAGGCAGCAAACCACACTGAACCACACCAGGTTTTTACTTTTTCTTATTGGTTTCTTTCTTTTACCCAAATAGTAATCCTTGGTTCTGTGTTTTTGTAGTTTCTAAGTTATCCTGCCTTATGCTTATCCTTAGCTTTGTCTTCTCAATCCAATTTTATCTCTCCCACCTCTGTATAGAACACTCTATTTAGTTTTGCCATTCCCTCAACTTTAGTATGTCATGGACTAACCTGACCCCTTTTCCTTTTAAGTCAGTATATTTCTAAATCTCCTCACCTTCACACCCTTTACTGAGCACCAGTTATATGCTGTATACCATGCTGAGACTGGGGACCTAACTGGAGACATGGCCTCTGCCTTTGTGAACGTAAGTCTGGTTGGGGTCAGACAAGTCAAGCATTGATACAGGGCAGTAAGTACTTGGATGAAGAAAGTAAAGATTTATGTGGAAGAAACTTCAAACTCAGATAAGAGGAAACATTCCTTGTGAGGTGTCACATAAGTGTGACTCAAGAATGGATCAGTGTTAGCCAGGTGAGAGAGGCCAGGTGGAAAAGAAAAGGATATCCTGTTCAGGAAGGAGTTAGTGTTATGGTGTTGTGAGGTTCAGTGAGGCAGATGCATGTAGACAAAGAGGCCAGGCTTTAGAGAGATATTGGGGTTCGATTTGGAAGGCTCTTGCAGCCCACATTTGGGGACTTGGACTGGCATTAGGGTAGAGCCTTTGAAGAATTTTTAGTGATCTGTAGCAGTGCCGGGCACTGGGTAAAACATCTTAGGAATATAGTTTCCTTCTCTTTTTACTATAGTTACTCTAGTTTCTAAAGTGTCTAGGAATTTGAATCTATTCAGGTGGCTTTATTGATTTTATTACTAAAAAGACTGATAGAAGTGATTAGATCCATTTGTACCACCAGGAGTTCAAGCTAACAGTAACCTGTTAAAAACAGTATCCGGATTATGCCACATCTTAGCTCAAAACATTGTGATAACTTCAGAGTAAAAGCTTTACCTTACAAAGGCCTGCAAGGATGATAGAGCTGTCCTGTTCCATGTCCTTCTGCCCACCTGGCTCTAATATATTCCAACTGTGTGCTGCCCCTGTCAAGCCTGCTGAGATCACATTGGCTTATATGTTCTTCCTTATAAGCATCAATCAAATTCTCCGTTTTTTAAAGAGAGGAAATGTGAAATTTTGATGAAATGCAGTTCATTAAGTTTTTCTTTTATGGTTCATGCTTTTTGTATCATATGTTAAGATTCTTAACCCAAGGTTACGGAGGTTTTCTCCTGTGCTTATTTCTATAAGTCTTATATTTTTAGATTTTTCATTTATTTTTATGGTCTGATTTAATTTTTGCATATGGTTCAAAGTATGAAATAAAAATTTTTATGTTTTTCTTTTGAATAGATACCTGATTTCTTTCATTATTTCTACTGAATTATCTTTTTACTGTAGTTTTATACTAAATCTTGAAAACAGTGTTAATTTTCCAACTTTGGTTTCCCTTTGTCAAAGTTGTTTTGGCACGGTAGGTCCTTTGTACTTTCATGTGAAGTTTAGAATTTGTGAATTTCTACGTACAAGCTTATTGGAGGGCTGAGATTTAGCTCAGTGGTTCCGCCTCCTGCCTCACAAGTTCAAGGACCCAAGTTCAATTCCCAGTTAACCCCCCCCCAAAAAAAAAGCCTACTGGAATTTTTATTGAAATGGTGTTGAATATATCAGTTTGGGGAGAATTGTCAGTATATTAGTGAGTCTTTCATCCTATGACCATGGCATGTTCCCTCAAAATTACATTTTTCAGCAGTGCTTTCAATGTACAAATCTTAAACAGCTTTTATCAAATTTATCCCATAAATATTTTATATTTGTTTTTGTAAATTTTTAAATTTTACCATCTAATGGTAAGTTGTTAGAATATACACGTAATTTATTTTTGTGTATTGATAGTTTATCAAAACTGTAACCTTGCTAATAGCACTTATTATATCTAGTAGACTTCTGTTTTAGATTCCAGTGAGCTTTCTACATGGAAATCATGTTGTCACTTTTCCAGTTGAGCTTTCTTCCCATCCCTCCTCTGTCTTCTGACTCAACTAAAACCTCCAGTAACAATGTTAAAACAGTAAGAGTGGATATCTTGTCTTTCTCCTGATCTTAGGGGAAAGGACATCAGTCTTTCTTATATAAGATATTGGTTTGCAGGGCTGTAGAGATCCTTTATCAGGTATGTTATTCCTAATTTTCTGGGAATTTTTATCATGAAAGAATGTCTGAATTTTATCAAATAACTTTTCCTTACCTGTTGGGATTGTGGGTTTCTTTTTTTAAGTTAGTGAATTGCATTGTTTGATTTTCAGATTTTTGACTTTGCTTACCTAGAATAAAATTCAGTTGGTCATGATATGTTGTCCTTTCTGTGCGTTGGATTTGATTAGCTACAATTTTAAGGATTTTTCCATGTATTTTCATGAGAAATATTGGGCACATTTTCTTTTCTCATAATGTCTTTGGTTTCGTTTTTAATGTATTAGGCTTATGTTAAGTTGAGAAGAATTTGTCCTTCTTTAATTTCCTGGAGGAACTGGCATAAAGTTGGTAATAAATACTCTTTCTGAAATACTGGGTGCATTTCACCAGTGAAGTGATTTGGCCTTGGAGCTTTTAAATTAGAAAGTTTTAAATTAAAAATATAATGTCTATATTAATTTTAAGTATATTTAATTTCTCTATTTCTTCTGGGAAAATGCTTATTTTTTTCAGGAGGTTTATTCATGTTATCTGTGTTGTTGAATAGTTTGTTATCCTTTTAATATGTCTAGAAGTTGTAGTGATGTTACTTCTCACTTTCTGATACTGGTAATTTCTATCTTTCTCTTCCTTCTCATTAATCGGACTGGTTTTTATCTGTTTATTGATTTTCTCTGGGAGCCAGCTTTTTGTTGTATTGATTTTCTTATGCCCCTATGCTCTTCTGTTTCTTTCTGACAGATCTTTGTTATTTCTTCCCCTTAAGTTTCATCTGCTCTTCTTTCCCCACTTTCTTAAGATGGGAGGTGTAGCTCCATTTCAAGGCCTTTCTAACATAAGTGTTTCTTTTCTACATGCCCTCAAGCTGCATTGCACAGATTTTAATATGTTCTTTTTTCAT